AACGTAACCGCAACTAGTAAATATTACTTAATAGTCGACCCAATAGTCGAAATTACGTAATCGCGACTATAAATGCTAGTTGGGGGCCATGTCAGCGAGAACTCCAATAACTATCAAGAACCCATTATATTACAAGTATATGGCGAAATAGTAATTTGATGGTTCCTACGGTGCTGAATCCTGAAGAGAATGGTTGGAATTTGGTCGATGGGCATTATGATTTCAATTGTTTTGAGGGAGAGATATAGTTCCTTCCTCTATTTACGAAATCATTTTAGAACAATCCAATGAAACTGGAAAAAACCATGCACCTGATAAGGAGAACACTTCAGCTAAAAAATAAATTGGTAATATCATCAATGTATATTTGAGTTTAACAGATAGGTATGTTTTATTTACAGATGAAGATTACAGTGAAGAGTCGGATGATGAAGAATATCAAATTTCAGTAATTGTCATAGATATATAAGTTACATTAGTGGATGGAACATGTTTCTTCAAAATTTTTTATTTTTATCTTCCATCTCTCGCGCTGAAACGTATACTCGTATAGCACCTTTCTTCCTCGCCTGTCAGGTACTTCTGCTGAAAAGAATCGCCTGTCATTGCACGTGTATGCTCTGAATACCTTATTAGTTAAACATGTGTGTGAATTTCAATCTTACAGAGCGAAGTTCATTTTCAGTCCTCTTTTGCGCACTTTTGGACTCGCCTGGCACCTACTTCTGCTCATCAGAATCGCCTGTCAATTTTTCTCTATATTCTGCATTACCTAAATAGGATAATAATAAAATTACAAGTTTACAGCGCCAAGTTTATTTTTCAAATTATTTTTACACTTTGAAACATGTGAGGCCTGCCAAGTCATGGTTTTCGTACTTAACAGCCTTGGATCCATCACTATACAAATTTCTAGCCTCACAGACAAACCGTTATATAAAAGGTTCACGAGCTCTTCAGCTATAACGATTTGTTCCTTATTGTCGAGCAGCAATGATAGCAGTCAAGTGGATAGTGATATTGATATTTCTGAATTCATCAATCCTAAGAAGGGTAAAATAAAACAGTGAGGCCGAAAATTAAAGAATACATGGAAATTGGGGCATAGCTGAATCGACATTTCATTCACTCTGCACTAAAGTAATGACATTTCTCAATAACATCGAATCAGAATGTGATGAAAATTTTGATCCACACTTGAAGAGAAGGAATTAACAGCAACAGAATTTGAAACATTGAAAGGATTTCCAAATGATCTGGGTTGCATTGACGGTAAAGAGAGGATTTCGGAATCCTTGTTCTAGTTGTGTAAAACTGGCTCAGCCAATGCTTCGTGTTTTCAAGAACCTATGACAACTTTACTGTCAACATTTGGTGAACAATCATTCCCGATAGCCCGTTTTATGCAGAATTGGATGACGTTAATTTCTCTCTGTAATATACTTGTACGCTTTTTTCAATGCGACTGTACTTATATTCCAATTTCTACACCAAATAATAAAATCAAGAATACATATGTCAACAGACATGATTCACCTTCAATTACACTACAGTGTGTATGTATGCAGATATGATTAATTGTTTTTAGATGTGTAATCTGGTGTACTCAGTGAAACTCATGACCCACGTGTTTGTAGTTTATCTTATATTAAAAAAAAAACTGTTATATGTGAATATAAGTGGTACATTCTAGGAGATTCACCTTATCCATTGAGGAAATGATTGCTAACACCCTTCTATGACTATGGCAATTCAACAGATATCCAGAAGAATTACAATAAAAGACTGTCTGGTACTAGAGTCAAAATAGAAAATGCTTCTGGGTTGCTGAAGTCTCGATGGAGACAATTCATACATGTTGATTTGGCTAAAGTCCTACGTATAGCAGATTTAATAGTCAGTTCTTGTGCTCCCCACAATTTATTTATGTATAACTTTGGATGGTGAATAGGAGGAGGGTGAAGGATCAAGAAATGATGATGACCTTATAATAGAGGATAACAGAAGTGGTGATGACCCACGGAGTCATTGAGAATTCGCATTCTCTATGTGATGAAAATATCAGTTCTTGCTCGCTTAATTCAACTGAAAACAATCACTTTAATGGCTATATGCCACGAATAACATGCCATTGAACACACACGATAAGATTGTGAAAACAAAATCTTCTGAAGTTGACAATTTGTATTGTCCTTTAGATAAAAATATGTACAGTCCCATTCAATGAAAAAGCGTAGAAAGAGAGGTTTACGGCATCCTAGTTTTAGTTGTGTAAAACTGGCTCAGCCAATGCTTTGTGTTTTTGAGAACCTATGACAACTTTACTATCAACATTTGGTAAACAATCATTCCCGATAGCCTGTTTTACACATATAGGATGACGTTAATTTCCCTCTGTAATATACTTGTACGCTTTATTTCTCAACACGACTGTATATCCACATAATTCCATTCTGAATATTCAACAGAAAACAACTACTTTCCTGGCTATTTGCCACGTCGAACATTGAATTATATCTGTTGAACATTCAAAAGGATAGCATGAAAAATAAAAATTCTCAGAAATTGAGAATTGACATTCTCTCTCAAATCTGATAAATAATATGATGTATAATGATATAAAAATGTAATTTTTTTTTAATTCAAAATTTATTTCCGCGTCCTGTATGATGAATATCAATTTGTCATTTTTTTATTTATTTTTTCCGGAGGTGGTCAAAATCCTTTATGGACACCACAAAGAACCATTCCCTTCATGGTAGTGTGGGAATCCCTACATTTAGGTGTACCAAACACTCCACCTCCTTTCAAGGCTCGTGTGACCGAAGTCTCCGATCCCATTGTACCATTGTACCTCGAATATGCCGTTATTGATTTTACCATATACGACCCATGGTTATTATACAGGGTGTTTCAAAAAAGCCTGACCTCCTTACTAGGGTAGGTAGAACATTGCAAAATGAGTTGGGTTTACTCAGTAAAAAAATTTCGTAACGGCATCCGTTATCAAGATACAAGGTGTTGAAACACATTTTTCAAGATTATGTCGAAATTACCTGCAACATTGTAGTGGAATTTTGTATGGATGTTTCTTGGAATCTGACACATCGTATGCATTTGTTTTTATATCTGACTCTCATAGAGGGCGCTAGTTGCACGGTTCGTACCGAGTAGTTTTGAACATAAGTTTTTTGTGGTTAGATTTTTCAATCCAAATTTGATGTGAACTTGAACATCATACAATTCCACGCCAAAAAGGTACCCTTGGTAAAACTCGATACTGTGTTCCGTTTTTGGAATATTTCGATTCGAAATTGATGAAGTGATAACTGTTGCTGGTATAAGGCTATGTATTATAGTGAGTATGAGAAATTTTCACCTATTTATTGAAAACCGAAAACAATAATACATATCTGATGCTGAACTCATTGATTTAACAATGAATCACAAGAATAACAACGAAACAGATCTGACTAAGAACATGGATTACACAATTTTATTGTATCTTGAGCAAAAAGTCTATGCTACATAGGTAAATTCACGTCAAGAGTTGTAAGACATGATTGAACATCACTAAAATGGCCTAACAGCTGATCCTCAACTGTTAAGAAGAATAATACATTCTTAAGAAAAGAATATAGAATCGTTTTTTCTTCGAAACGTAGGACATTTTGAACACTTACTCTAACTGATTCTATATTTCATGTTTCAAGTCAAATATCTCTTAATTTTCTACTTATGATTCTTTGTTCCATCAATAACTTCAGCACAAGAATAATTTTATTGTTTTTGAACCTGAATAAATAGGTAATTGAACTCAATAAAATTCATTTTATACCAGCATCAGCTATTACTCCATTATTTTCAGATCGAAATATTCCGAAATCGGAACATAGTTTCGAGTTTCACCAAGAGTACCTTTTTGTTGTAGAAATGAATGATTTTCGAGTTCATATCATATTTGGAACGAAAGATATAACCTCAAAAAAGTTATATTCTAAACTACTCGGTACGAACCCTGTAACTAGCGCCCTCTATGAGAGTCAGATATAAAAACAAATTCATGTGATGTGTCAGATTTAAAGAAACATACATACAAAATGTCATTACAATGTTGCCAGTAGTTTCGACATAATCGTGAAAAATGTGTAAAAAACTAAATTTTTCAACACCTTGTATCATGAAAACGAATGCCGTTACGACATTTTTTCACTGAGAAAACCCAACTTATTTTGCAGTGTTCTACCTACCCTAGCAAGGGAGTTAGGTTTTCTTGAAACACCCTGTATAAGGGCCACTTCAATTGCCGCCACAGTAACTGTGAGCACTGCTGCTCACAATACCAGAGTTTCGTTTGGGAGACCTTTTTCATTCAGATGCCTGAAGACTCTTCATCCAAAAACAATTTCAGATAATCATATATCTCTGAAGAAGTTTGTTTATACAGATTTGAAAAATGAAATCTATGTAAATCGTTTACGGTTACGGTTTTTCTGTCTTCTGTTTTACATGAATGTTTATTTTCAATTTGCTTCAGGGTTGATAAACCTTCAGAAAAAAATTAGGCATAGTATGAAGTAAAATTTATTTCGTGTCAAGTACAATTAGTTTTTATGACATGTTCGCAAGCATCAGTGTGATGTAACAAAATGAAATTATTGCATCGTTTCATTCAAACTCGATTCATTACACTTTTTATAGTTTTCTCATTAGTTCGATATTGTTTGTGTCTTGATATTATAATATTTACCAATCAAAAAGTACACAAAACTCATCAATCAGTTACGAAATAAGTGAAATAAAAAAAGAAAAATTTTTGTATTCTGTATACTTTTTGACAGGAATGCTGCTCAACGCTTAAGAATATATCCATTGAAAAAATAATTATGACAAGTTCCAATCTTACAAACTAGATCAACAGTCAGTAGATCGTCAGATCGGATCACAAATAATGTGTGTACAAAAATATTTACAACTAATAATACTGATACATTCGGCAATTATCTTTCCAGATCCAGCTTCAACAGATTCGCGATCTTGTCGAAAACTTTGGCGCCCGGCAAAGAGAGATCGGCCAGATCGCACTTTTTCTTCAAATGTTCGTATTGTAGTTTCACAGCACTCGTTAAAACGTCTTTGTATCGATAAGCAGTTTTATCCACTGTCGAGGTGGTCTTGATGCAGTCGTCGCCGCCGAACTCGCAGATCCTGTAGTGGTGCAAAATGGCGGCATCGGCCGGAACGTTCAGTGTTCCATGACCTAAAAATTTCAATATAGATTAGTGATATCCTTTCGCCTGACCCCTTAGTCTAAGATCCCGAGTAAGGTCGACCTTCACCCATCTGTTCATTGGATGAACATTATATTTTATAGGTAATTTAGCATGTTGAATATTATACATTGAAGACTGCAACCTTTGGCATGATAATACACTACACACTGTTTTACCACTAACCAAACCGATTTTTTACACCTCGACTCCTGTTTCGATGTTAGCATCGTCAGGACAAGGTTGAAATTGATTTTAATCTTCTCTTGAAGATGCTAACATTGAAATCAATTTTAATCTTCTTCTGAAGATGCCAACATAGTTAGCGAAACACGTGTCGAGGTGTAAAAAATCGGTTTGTTTAGTGGTAAAACAGTGTGGAGTGTATGTTCAATATTGTTAAAAAATGGGTTGCCTGAAAAAATCCTGGCCAGGCTACAATTAACTTAAAATTCAAAAATCATTTTTTCAATTTCTACCCATGAGTTTGATGAAAATATTTTACACCAACCGTAAGTACAAAGCCTATAGAATATGCAGACATAGGGTTGGCTTATATCCTGCTCTAACTATTGAGTTGCCAGGTATAAACAGGTATTTTGGTCCTGGTTATTTTCACCTACTTGTTCATAAGATTGTCCACAATAAAAAGGCTATATTCCGAATTCAACTGGTCAGTACTGTCAGTAGATCCACTGACTGCTGAAAATCTGTTCCGACATTTGATACTAAGAATAAAGTGCTGTAATTCGGAACACGTTTCCATAATTTTCGTCAGCAATCAGCAGCAGTTGAACAGCTGGTTAAATTTGAATGTCATACTCAGCATCACCAATTATAGTAACAGGCATTTTGTTATAAAATATGATATTATTAATTTATGATTGATTGATTGAAGACAAGAGTTGATGTTTTTTAAACAACGGAAATGAATCTACTGTAGAAGTCCATGTTATCTCATAGTGGATTGAAGTAGTTAAAATATAATAAAAACTCTCCAAGTCGTCTCCACAACGTTTAATTCTAAATTCAAGAAGGAGGGGACGATTGGGATTTTCAGAAATATAAGTTATTCAAAAATCATAAATTCTCAAGTATGTATTGGTAATTTTCCTGATTACAATAAAAAAACAATTGTCTCAAAATGGTCCCCTATGATTTTATTGCTTAGGTATAATAAATTTGTGTAGATAATAATTATATCAATTCACTCTAGAGGACATTTGAAACGGTAATCGTGACAACACGACACACGAATACTGGGCGTGGTCTTGTCAGTTCTCAGCATTCAGCACACAATGTTGCCAAGTCTCATGCCTGATATTTTGTTATGGAATACAAGAAGTATTTGGGCATGCTGGTTGCTCGAAAAAGATAAGAATTTACCATGATATCATGGGGGTTCCTCCTATTATCTTTTATTCAACGACAAGACTTGTTACATCTCTTTGATAACTTGATTATTAATAGTGACTTGATAACCTTCATCAATGAGTGGGAATGGAAGATTATCTGACCAATATCGAAGCAGCATAAAAACTGACGTCACCATTTATTCGATGTGAGCCGAATGGCGGCCCTGGCGGTACGTTGGAAATAAGCTCTGAAATTCAACAATTTTGAACAACTCTCGAATAGACTCATTATAAAAAAGCGTGGGAAGTGTTTTATAAATCAATTTGGGTTCCTAACGTCACAATGGAAGTATTTGGATATACCAATTATTCATAATCATTCCACTCGCCCATTACTGCCTGGATTGGAATTATATGTAGTAAATCAATAAGAAGCTAAGCGTATACTGGTGGATACGGTCGCATTTTCAAAGCAGACGTTATTCAAAACGTCATAAAAACGCGGTCCTGTTGCTCGTAAGGTACTACTCAATTTTTTAACAGAAAATCGATTTATATACCGGGTGTTCATTGATACGTATATGCGGGTCCCGAAAAACTGATTCTGATGATTAATATCCAAGATACCGACATATACAGTTTTTCATGTCCAATTGTTGGATATAGTTCCCAGTGTTGAAATCATGATAAAATAGGCAACATTATGCACGGGGATAACGAACATCAAAGATGTCGACTGTAAGAGTCAACTCTGAATCCCTCAAGCACTTTTTACTACATGGTCGTATACGGGATTAGAGTATGAAACTTTCACCTGGTACAAACTCCCAGACGAAATGGTTGCCCGCCTCCACGGTGACCTCCGGCCGGCAGATGTACTTGCTGCGCTGCTTGTGCGGATGCAGCTTGCTGCGCCTGCGCGTCTTCCGCAGCGTCACCAGATTGGCGGCCACCGGGTCGTCGAAGGCGGCCACCGCAGCGTCGTCGCTCCACTGCAGGTAGAAGAAGGCGTTCTGGAAGGAGAAGGAGCCGGTGGTGCGAGTGTTCATCCTGCGGCTCAAATAACTGCAAGAGATATTGATTGATTGATTGATTGATTGATTGATTGATTGATTGATTGATTGATTGATTGATTGATTGATTGATTGATTGATTGATTGATTGATTGATTGATTGATTGATTGATTGATTGATTGATTGATTGATTGATTGATTGATTTTATTAGGTGAGGGTTGGTGGGCTGTGTGCACGTGTAAATATACCAAAGAAGGGAAGAGTTGTATTTATTGCAAGATCATTTATTCAAATTTATATTCGTAGCAGAGCGCGTTCGACTGTTAAGTCATCATCAGTGCATACCTGTAAGTTATTAATCTGCTTTTGGCTATTGGAAAGAAATTGAAATTGAAAATTCGAAAAAAAAATTCCGAAAAACTTGTTCGAAAAAAAAATTCCGAAAAACTTTTTGGAAATTTGAAAAAAGGTTAAAAATAAATTGGTGACTTGTTACTTGTTAATGAACTCTTGATTTTGAAAAAGACATCATCATAAAATCGAAATTTGAAATAGTTGAATATGAATTTGGAAATTGATAAAAGTGAGGTTACTCACTCGTCAGGTTAACAGGGAAATTTGTCCATAAAAACAGTTTTCAACTAACTAACTACTAAACTAATGGAGGCAAATTTGAAGTTGACATGCATATTGTGTCAAAGGAAAAATCAAGAATGTTTATTATGAAACATTAGTGAAGATGAACATTATGAAATCGGGAAAATTAACCAAGTCCCTAAGGAGCGAATGTTTTGTTGGTCTAATGAGAACATAAAATAGCCTAAGAAACATATATCTGTTTTTCTGCAACCGACACAAAAGTCGTCCATTTTGATACGAACATGAGCTCTTGAATTGACGTTTCTACTACTGACACAAAAATAGGCAACACATTCAGTTCCTAGGAGCTAAAGTTGAACTTTAGTGCCTAGGAGCTAAAGATGAACTTTATCTCCTAGGAACTAAAAAGGATGTACTAGAGGTCATCAAGAATAATAGTAGATGCAAGATTCGCTTGTCAAACAAAGTCACTTTTGATCCGAATGAAACATGCTATTTTTTCTGCAACCAAAACAATAAACTCAAATAAATATGTGAAGTTACCACCAATGCCGTGCAATATGTATGCAATGCGACAAAAAATATTGACAAATAATCCGTGTGGTGAGAATATTCTACCAGCATTAACAGCAGGTTTATTCAATTTTCAAGGATGTTATTGGAATTGTAGTTTCAATATAAATACAACCACAGAGTGACAAATTGGTGTATGGACCAGGTGCTCTAATGGCAAATACCGCGCCAGTGCCATCAGGTATAGGAATGCAAGACGTGGAAAATTTTAGGTTAGTGAGCATATCAACAATAATGATAGCGATTATTTATTCCTCTCCATACTACACTGTGTTTGACTTGATAATCAAATAGAGGTTGATAATATCGTTGTTTGAGACAAAAAACTTGCTGTCCGTGAATAAATTGAATTAAATTGTAGAAATCATCCATACTCTAAGTGATTAAGAAAAAACACAAATTCCAAAGTCAGTCGACCACACTTTATATGAAAGATTGAAAAACTATTAAAAAACAGTGACTGATTTCGGCACAACGCCAATCATCAGACTGTGCAGTACAATAGTCACATTAAAACTTTCAAAAGATTGTACTTAATCGATTTGTTTTGTAATCGAACCGGCCAGCATCCCAGGCAGCAAGCTGACGTCATTTTGACGTCTTTTTTGGTCCGTGGCGTCATATTTTGAAAATGGCGTGATTTGTAACGTCATTACTTCAACGTATTTGGAATGTCTTTGTCACGACGTTGGATTGACATCATTATGAAAAATCGACTCTATACCCAGCCAGCACAAATACATCTCAGGGACGTCAAAAGTACGAGATGTCGAGACATTGAACCTCCACTGTGATGTCCTGTTCACACATGAATAGATCTTTCATAGAACAGCCAATGTCCGCCGCAGGCGGCGTTTATAAAGATATCCTTTGGATATTACAAAAATACATTCTTCCTGGTTTTTTTGATAGCCTTTTCATGGACGCAAGATAACCTTTCCAAAGCGGTTTGCGCATATTTGATCACTGCAAATAAACCAATCCTGGGGGATTATGAATAAAAAGGAGAAACTGAAATGGAGCTTTCTCCGCTGGGTAATCGAACCTACTCTCTTGTGATTTATTTTTACAATTCTTACTCCTTGTCCACTGCGCTTTAGGAATCCTATTGATGAAATTTATGAATACTAAGATGTCAACATGCCGTTCTCATAGAGTAGGGTAATAATTTAGCATTGAGCTTAAAGAATGATAGGGTGGGCCAGGGAAAACATTATAAATATTGAAACAAGAATAACATTTATATCATATATTTTGATACGATTTTGTATGTTCTCAGAATATTCTGAGGGGTGCCAAAGTTTTCGATTTCTCAGTTTTGTATACATATTCTGATTGGCATAATATGGCTAACATGCGCCATCTTATGATTTGGGAGCTGGTCATTTCCCGATTTCAGTTCCAGATTTCTGGTGAAAAAACGTTATCTATTCGAGAAATAATAAATAAATTCGAAGATAACCAACAAACATTATCATATGCTAGAGTAGTTCATGAACATGATTATCGTGGTCAATAACTCAACACAAAAATGAGGTGAAAACTTGCAAAACATGATAATCGTCATTCGTCATAATCATAAACACGTATAGAGGAGCACCAAAATGAATTTTGTTAAATATCTCGGAAACCAAGAAAAATTATAAAAACACTGCAGTGCTATACTCCAAAACAATAAGTTACATTGATTTTTATCAAAGAGATTGCGAAATATTATACCTAACTCCCTGTATATTGATTGATCTGGTACGACATGTTTTCCATGCACATTCACTATAGTGAATTGCCCTACAGATTTCAGGGCAATGCCTTTCGAGAATTTCGAATTATTGAAGAAAATCTGGAAATAAAATTGTTCTTCATCGCTCCCGGCTCAGCGGTGCATTTTCGTATATAGGTGAGATGATTTCAATCGGCCTAGTTTCGTCTCTAGTTCACCCTTTTGAATTTATGGTACTTCGTTCTGAGACACCCTGTATATACAATGCTTTTATTTTACATGCATGCACCAGCGCCATTTCATAGAATTTCTGAAAATCCGACAGAATCTCGATACTCTGCTTTCGATAGAGCACTGTTTTTACGAAATAGGGTTCGATGAATTACCATTCTGAAAAAGTATCGTGCTGATACAATTCGGTTCTGATGCAATACCATAAATTGCCATGCTCAAGTCTTCCAGACCAGAATTGTCTAATGTTCTATACACCATAAATCACTCGATATAGTACTTACCTACTGTCGAATACCTGCACTCACCCCAACTAATTAATGATAATATTGTACTGTTGCCTCACGAAAAGTATAATTATATGAAAATATGGAAAGGTAATATTCTGTTGAGATAGGTATACCTGGAGCTCTATACATAGAAAATGACTACCTCACATCTATAAATATTATCTCATCAGCATTCAATGATATATGGTTGAATATCTTGCCGTAATCATATCGATTTAAATGAATCCATATTACATTAGAAAGTGTTTGCATCCATCAGCGACATCTGATGGAGTTCAAACGATGTAGATAAATATGAACACTTCAGCCGCCAGCGCCATCTCATATAGTTCAACCAAACTAACCGTGAAAATCAATACTTCGTCCTATAACGCTATGGAATACAATTCTGACAAAATAGTGTCGCTATGAATTACGGTTCCTATGAATTGCTGTCGCTATGAAATACGGTTCCTATGAATTACTGCCGCTATCAAATACGATTCCTATGAAATGATGTCGCTATGAATTACGGTTCTGATGAATTGCTGCCGCTATGAAATACGGTTCCTATAAAATATTGTCGCGATGAATTACGATTCCTATGAATTGCTGTCGCTATGAAATACGGTTCCTATGAATTCATGCCGCTATGGAATACGATTACTATAATGTGCTGTCGCTATGAATTACGGTCGCTATGAATTACGGTTCCGATGGATTGCTGTCGCTATGGATTCCGTTTCCCATGAATTGCTGACGCTTTGAAATACGGTTCCTATGAAATGATGTCGCTATGAATTACGGTTCTGATGAATTGCTGCCGCTATGAAATACCGTTCCTATGAAATATTGTCGCTATGAATTACGGTTCCTATGAATTACTGCCGCTATGAATACGGTTCCTATAAATTACTGCCGCTATGAAATACGGTTCCTATGAAATGTTGTCGCTATTAATTACGTTTCTTATGAATTGCCTTACGCTTTGAAATAGGGATCCTATAAATTGCTGCCTCTATCAAATACGGTTCCTATGAAATCCTATCGCTATGAATTGCGGTTCTGATGAATTACTGTCGCTACGGAATACGGTTTTTATAAAATACTGTTAGTATCAAGTACGGTTCCTACATAATACCATTCTGATGGATTACTTCACGATGAATTACGTTTTGATGCTTTACATACCTATAAAGTACGGTTCTATGTATTACAATGATACGGTTTATATTCCTACAGAATACTGTTCTGATTCATTACATACTCTATGAGTTACCAACTCTATGGAATATTTTCCTATGAAAAATGTTCCTACACTTTATATTCTGACACTTTGGGTGTTCCCAGACATACATACTGTATCTTACGTATTCGTTGAGTAAGGATTCTGAAATTTTCTGGAACGAAAGGTATACCAAAAATGCACTGTAAGACCAAGTGTGGTCATCTTCAGTGATATACACTGCTCGCCAACAGCCATGGAACCATGCCAATTTCCGGATAATAATATTAGAAGTCGAAACAGGTTGAAAATCACTTCGGATTCGGAATCACGTCGCTCAATTCACAAACAATTCGCATATTTCCTGAAGAAAATGTCAGTTCTGAAAAATTCATTTTGGTCTCACTTTTCATGGGAACACTAGCGTATTTC